ATGACTTCCTCTCAGAGAAAAAGGTTTACATTGCTCACTCATCCCTCATACATGAACTATCAAACTTTTCCCGAAAATTCTCATTTAATCCTCACAAAATCCTGTAACAGTGGTTCTCAAATTTAGGGTTACAAAGAATCACCCAGGATCACCTTAAATACAGATTCACAGGCCCCCACCTCCAGCATTCTAAGCAAGTATGGGTGGGCCTTGGAGTCCTCTTTCTAAGTTCCTTGGCGATTGGGATGTAGGCAGTTTTCCCAACTTCCTCAATGATCAAAATGCTTCCAGACTCTGCCCATGCGGATTCTGATACGGTGGGTTAGGAATTTGTATTTTTAATAGAACAAATATTATAACTTCAATTTTAAATGTGAGAGAGCCAAGGCCCAGAATAACTTATGCAGATTTACACAGCTAGTTGATGACAGAAGTGAAACTAGAATCCAGTCCAATGCTCTTTCTATTGGGGACCAAAAGCCATACCACCTACACAGAATTCCATACATAATAGGCAATTGGTAGATATTTGCTAAATTGAGTAAAATTCCTATATCTTACTTTCTAGGTCCTAGAGGGAAAAAGCTATTTCCAAAGCATATTTGCATCCCACTCCACCCAGCCTCACCCCAAGGCATGTAACACAGTGCTCTACCCTCAGGGCTCAACAGACGTTTATGAGCAAATGCGTATGATATGATTACTGGATTGCACGCTGCTCCATCAACTACCTCTGGCTAGGCTCCAGATTGTAAACGAGCTTCCCAGAACTGAACTCAACACTACACCTATGGTCTGACCCCAATTAAGTGCTGCAGAAGCTCCTTTGCCTGTGGTCTTAAAGGAACTTCTCTGTGCTCTGGAATGGCATGTGCTCTCTCAGAAACTGACAGGACCAACTGCTCTATTGCTGACCCTGGGTTCTCCTAGCTCATTCAGCCCCTGCTGTGGCTTCCTGCTCCTAGCTCCCCATCCTCAACACCTAGAACTGTGTTCTGCTCAAAAGCTGGGCCTTAGAACCCTGGAGAACATAGGCTACAAATCACAGCTTCCCTCACTTCCATCTCCTTGGCATTGTCCCTAGCATTCTTATAGTGCATTGAAAAGAACCTTGACCATAGATGCAAAAGCCAGCCCACTCCTTCCTCCTCATGCATAGGTAGTACTTACTGCCTGTTACAGACTCTATTTGGGATATATGAGCTTGTTAAATCCCCACAACACCACCATCAGGCAGGTAGTCTTACCTCCCCCATATTATAGGTTAAGCAATTAGCTCAAGTCACACAGTAAGGAGCAGAGCCAGGATCCAATCACTTTTTTTTTTTTTTTTTTTTTTGGTGGTACTAGAGTTTGAACTCAGGCTTTGTGCTTGCTAGGCAGGTGCTTTGCCTCTTGAGCCACTCCTCCAGCCCAGAGAGACTGCACTCTTAACCACAAGGCTGTACTCTCTAAGTTCCTAGTTCTGCCACCAGCCAGCTTCTGAACTTGACTGTTAAGATCTCTTCTAGTATGAAGTTCTCTCATTATAGGTAAGGGCCAGACAGCTAATATTTTAGTTAGTCTGAGAATCACTTTAAACACAAATGAGTTAGAGTCAGAAAGTGTGATCAGAGGAGAAAGATCTATTAATGCAAATGGCCTCAGATCAGGGAGAAAAATCCTTAACTATAAGCTTAACCATTTACCTGCTGGGATTATAGCAGAGCACCTGCCTGGCAAGTGCAGGGTTCTGAATCCAAACCTCAGTACTATTAAAACAAAAACAAACCAGTTCATCTAAAAATATCCTGCCCAATTATAAAAGCACTGACTTCCTAAACTGGAATATTAACTTTCCAAATACAACATACTAGTCAAGGATTCATATGATATTAAAATTAGCTGAGAAGTCTCAACATTAGCTAGGATTTAACTTTAGATAAAAACTTTAGCAATCAAAAGAGAGGGTTTCATGTATAGGAAAATATATTTTCAGGTTTATGGAAAAACTCCTTAAGTAAAAAAAAAAAAAAAAAAGGCAAACTCCTTTTAGTGGATGATATGGCAGAAGCTACAGGGGTCTTGTTTGCAATGACACCTGGGAACCATCCTCCATATCTGAGTTGTCTGGTCAGGTGCAGACAGACAGTGGTAGTGGAACTCCCATCCGTAAGGACTGAAATCACATTTTGAACCATGAAGTTGCCAGCAAATTTTCAAAGAAACATCTATCTGATGATTCAGTCCAGGGCTATTTCAAGATGTCCATACGTAGGTGTCAAAAGTCAATAAAATGTTCACAATTTACCATCTGGAATGATCACCTCTGTGACGGCAGGAGAGCCCTGCTTCTGAGAGCTACAGATTAAACAATATACCACCAGATTTGTTTGGCAATCCTGAAGAACCCAAGATTCTGAAAAATGTCTATGGCAACCCCCAACTGGTGTGGGTTGAAGGTGATTCCTCTTTTGCGCTCAGTTAATATGCACTACCTGTGCTTTGTGCAGATCACCTAGAGTTTCCAGGAAGTGCACAAGGAAAAAATTATAAGTGATAAAGCACTTTCACAACTGTTCATCAAATCCTCAGAATAATCTTATGATGTAAGTTCAAGTAAAATGTATTGTTCACATTTTACAGATAAAGGAGCAAGTTTTTTTTTTTTGTGGTACTGTGGTTTGAAATCAGGGCCTTATGCTTACTAGGCATTGGAACTGTTCCCCCAGCCCTGGAATGAGACTTAGTAGAATGAAGTGAAATACCCAAAAGTCTTACATCCATGATACAGCTATGACTTGTTCAGTTTAAGTCCTATGCTCCATTCTTACCCCCCACACCAGGAATTGGGGGGACTAACATATTATAAGTATGCTAATTTGATACCATTATTAATTGATGAATTAAATCAACAAGCATTGTGAATGCCTAATTAGAGCCAGATCCATGGCAAATTCCTGTTCTTGGGGAGCTTAGTGCACTGGGGAAGCAGATATGAAAACAGATGATTAAAACAGCACACTTTTACAATGTGAAATAGAATCACAGAAAGGACTATTAGACAACCTTGTCCTAAAAGAAGGATAGTTAACCTTAAGGAGTCTTTAGAAAGGCGTCAAATCTTAGTAGGGTGTCTTCTCCCCCCAGTATTCTTTGCTTTGATTCTAATGATCAGCATTAGTAAGGAAGTTAAAAAAAAAATGCCAGGCGCCGGTGGCACCTGTAATCCTAGCTACTCAGGAGGCAGAGATCAGGAGGGTCATGGTTTGAAGACAGCCCTGGCAAATAGTTTCCCAAGACCCTATCTCAAAACAATCCTTCACAAAAAAAGGGCTGGTGGAGTGACTCAAGGTGTAGACCCTGAGTTCAAGCCCCAATATCAAAAAAAAAAAACAAAAAACCAAAAAACCCTACTTCTAGTATGAAGAAAAGCAATTCATCCAGCCTCATAACTTGGTAGATATACCCAACCTCTATTGCTCAAGTGCTAAGCTAACAAAACAACCTTTCAAATTGTATTTAGGAACACTGGGTTGATCTATTCCAGAAAGAGGAAATGAACACCCTCTATAAATAACCTGTTGCTATTTATCCTGCATAGGTCCTCTTTTGTTGTGAATTAATAAATAGTTGTGCTAGTCTAAAAAAGCAGCAGTGGGAGAGTTATTATGAGTCAATTCTATCAGTACCATCCAGTGGAACTTTCTGAGATGGTGCATGGCTCAGATGGGTTACATATATGGTTACTGAGCATTTGTAATGTTGGTAGGGAAACTGAAGAAGTGACCTATAATGCTAGTTCATTTAAATAGTCACATGTGGCAAATGGCTACCTATTTGGATAGCACAGCTCTAGACCCTTGCTATAATGTGTGATGTGTGGGCTAGCAGCTTCCCTATTACACTTTGTTAGCTGGTTAGAAAGGCAGAACCTCAGGCTCTGCCTCAGACCTACTAATTCAGAATCTCTGTATTAATGAGATCTTCAGGGGATTTGTGTGCACATTAAAAAATGTAAAGGGCATGGTTATTTCTAGATGAGCTGAAAAACAGACTGACTGAGGACCGTATGTGGGGTGACCCCTCCAAATTATAGACACACACTCTTGAAACTGCTGTCCAGTATAAAGGACCTTTTTGCTTTCTTGGTATCTGCCTCTTTCCTACCTTTACTTTTTTTTCTTTCTTCTTTTTTTTTTTTTCTTTGGTGGGTCTGGGGTTTAAAATCAGGGCTCATGCTTGTAAAGCAGGAGCTCTACCACTTGAACCACAACTCCAGTCCATTTGGAGCTGGGATCTCACAAACTATTTTCCTGGGCTGGTCTTGAGCCATGATACTCAGCCTCCCAAGTAGCTATGATCCACAGGTGCCCAGCTCTCTTCTATCTTTTAAATATAGAAGAAAGAGGAAAGGGAGAAGAGGAGTGAGCCCGGGATCTAAATAAAGTATAGGACACTGGAGAAATGGCTAAAGTGGTGGAGAATGTACTTAGCAAGCATGAGGCCCTGAGTTCAATCCCCAGAACCAAAAAATAAAAAGGCATAGGATGTGAGAATGAAGGATGAGGTGGGAAGAACACATTTTCTCCAAAATATTTGTACAAAATAAAATGATAATTATTCAACATAAATGATGGGTATATGAAAATCCATTGTATTATTTTCTCTACTTTTGTGTATATTTGAAATTTTTCAAAATTAAAAAAACATGTGATTTCAGAGATGATACATGTGACAGTCACCTCCAAGATGGCCCCCAATGATCCTTTGTTTGAAAATTTTCAAAATTAAGAAATAGATGTGATTTCAAAGATGATATGTGTGATAGTCACCTCCAAGATGGCCCCCAATGATCCTTTCTTCCCTGTATTCATGCCCTTGTATAATCTTCCATACTGAACCAGGGCTTGTCTATGTTACCAAAGTGGAGGTAACAGGTGAAACTTCAAAGATCTAGGTCATTGTAACTTCTCTCTTGCTCTGAGAGAAGTCGGCTGTCATGCTCTGAGGGCACTTACCTAGTTTGTGGACAGAACTTCAGGAAGAGGTACCTAGGTTTCATGCCAACAGCCATCCATGGAGTGATCTATGGAACGGGGCCTCTGAGGTAATTGATCCCCTGGCCCCAGTCAAGTCTTCCAATAACTGTAGCTCCATCTGACATACATTTGTAACTGCATGAGCAATCGCCAAGCCAGGACTGAATCCAAATCTCTGACCCACAGAAATCAGGCGAGACAATCAGTCACATTCTAGCAGTAAGCCACTAAGTTGAGCATAACTTGTTACGGAGGAGTTGATACCCGAAGCAATGTGATTTCAGGATTCTGCCTCTCCTCCCTGCCTTTTCATGGATGCCTGGAGTGAATAGGAAAAGAAAGACCTTTTCACATTATGTATGGCGTTAACATACTAATTACTCCTTGGGGAGATAATACGCCCACTTACATTCATGGTAAAACGTGACAGATAGGAATTCTTTCTTTTTAAAACTCTTAGCAGGCTTATCTATTGAGACATTAATTTCAATCTTGGTCTTGCTGTTGTAAGACACTAAAAAGAAAAAAAAAAATGGTGATTTCTCACTCAGGGTCCACTGTCTCAAGAAGAGCTAAAATTTTGAATTTTGTTTTGCCCTTTCTACATCCCCTTGCCCCGCCCTTAATACTCAACAACCTACACTGGTGAATAACTCCTTGGTGTTTCAGGGGCCACCCTATAAAAACACCCCAAACTCTACCACTGGCCTTCATCCTAAGGATTAGATAAGAACACTGCTCCAAAAGGGACTCAGAAAGAGGCCAAGGTAGGAGGGCTTCCTGGGGCCGGTAGAGCTGCATGGGGTGTGTGTGGAAAGGCGAACCTGGGCCCTGGACCTGAAGATCCCAAAGACACACCTGCCTTTCCCCCTCCTGTCCAGCAGGCTTGCCGGCTATGGAGCTGTGTCCTTGAGTGGTTACCCCCTGAATGGTTATGGACTAGTGGCATCAAGACTATAGGGAAAAAATTTAAAAGACAAAACAAAACAGGAGGGAAACAAAACAAAACGAATCCTTCCCCAAATTTTTGGGACTTCACAACCCCAGAGAGAAAGGAGAAGGAAAGTAAAAAACGTGACTACATGAATTTCCCGCCAACACTGACAAACCGGAGCTGAGCCAGATTTCTCTAATTTGGAAAATTAAGACACGTGACGCTTCTTGCCCCAAAGTCAGCTCACTGGCTCAGGCGAATTCACTCCAGTTAGACATAACTTTTCCGAGGGCAGATTTGGGGAGGGAGAAGGGTACTGGGGGGATGAGGAGGATGGAAAAAGGTTGAGGAAGGCGGAGAGGAGCTCAAGGGGTCAGGGTCCTCTTCCTGACAGTTCTCGTCACCAGCTCAGCGCCCAGGACAGCTTCCCAGGGAGGACCACCAGGTTCCTGGACTGAGGCCGGAGACCCCGCGCGCGTCCGCCGGGCCGATCATACACAAACACACGCACGTGCGCCCCGCCCCCGCCACGCGCACGCGCCCCGAGGCTCCGGCGGCGGCGCCGGGCGCG